ATACTAAAAGAATATATAGGATGTAAGCAGAGGCTAACATTTCCATAATAAATTGACTTTCATTCCCTCTAAGGATTATATATCTATAGTAGCATATATTAAATGGAAGTAAGTAGAGGCCATAATTTCCATTTTTTATGTAATAATAATAATTCAAATGAATATCTTTAGTAGAAAATTTTTCCAGTATATTAACTTATGAGGCGTACCAAATGCATGGAACGTGTACATTTTACCATTTCACTCACTGCTGGTGAGGTGGATTTTAGGTGAAGAGAGTTAAGAATTATTCTACGTTCGGTATAAATGAATGATATTTTCCATTGCATTGTCAATAGTTCAATGTAGATTTTCAGATTGACTTACTCAAACCAACATTTTTTTTTAACTTGAAACTTGAGTAAAATATTTCTGAACTTGAACTCTGTATTTTGTATCAAGATAAATGCTTGTTAATGGAGAAGAATTAATACAAGTATTCCTAAAATCATGTGGCAAATTCGTTACATCATATAAAGGCAGCGATAAGGTGTTTGTTATAGAAATTCATTGCAAAGAATTTTAATGAAGAATTGCATTGCAAAACAAGACTAATGGAGAATTAAAAGTCGGACTGCAATGGATTCAAATTCATGGCATCTCGACTTCAGTCACTTTCTCACAGACCTGGCTTGTGGCTGTCTTTTCTGTAAATATTTCCATGGCAACTATTCTGAAGAGGTTTTTTTCCTTGGTGCTCCGATTGGATGAATTTAAGCGTGTTAAAGGCAGCGATAAGGTGATTGTTATAGAAATTCACTGCAAAGAATTTTTATGAAGAATTGCATTGCAAAACAGTCATAATGGAGAATTAAAGCACGGACATTTAAACAAGTAATATTAACAAACTGGGGATGGTCTATGCATAATTTAAATTCATTGTTAATGAATTTAGATAAAACTGCACAAAAAGTATTTTCGATGGCATTGCTAATGGTCAGGAATTAAAAACAAAGCATTATTATGTGTATAATGCATATTTCTTATTCCTCATTTCACACGAAGCAAGGCGATAATGCCACTAAGACGGAGAGGGGTACAGGGAGTGAAAGAGAATGAAAGGAATAGTGACGAGGAGGGAGGAAAGGGCAATAAAGGAACCGGATGTAAAAGACAGAAATAGCGATTGAGGTTGCATTGAATTTTTTGACGATTATAGGCGATAGGAAATAAAGACAACGAGACACAAGGACTTACAGTACATGGAAGATTAAGAAAATAGAAAAAAAAACATTATTAAATAGCGAGAACAATAAAAGAAGAGGAATTAAGGAGACAGTAGATAGCGATTGAAATTGCATTTAAATTTTTGAAGATCGAAATTGACTAGAGAGCAAGATGCCGGAAGAGAGTTCCACAGGCGTGAAGTGCGAGCAAAGAAAATGTTAGCTATGATCGTACATCTAATTACTATGAAAGTTATTCTAGAAAAAGGACATGGTTGCTACATTACGGTAGTGGGAAAATCACTGAAGCCGGAATGTTTTGATGAAAGGTGCAGTGTCGTATCTAGACTTTATCAATTTAAGCTTAGCACTACATTTGGTCACAAGGTATCATCGTTTTACAATTAGATTGGTTAGATGTATGTTCTTGGCTAACCGTTTCTTTGCTCGCACTTCACGCCTGTGGAACTCTCTTCCGGCATCTTGCTCTCTAGTCAACTTCGATCTTCAAAAATTTAAATGCAATTTCAATCGCTATCCTACTGTCTCCTTAATTCCTCTTCTTTTACTATTCTCGCTAATTAATAATGTTTTTCTTTTTTTTTCTCTTAATCGTCCATTTCCTGTAAGTCCTTGTGTCTCATTGTCTTTACTTCCTTTCTTACCTATCGCCTATAGTATCGATAAAAAGAATACCCGCTCGGCCCGGTAGCTAGGATCAAAGTGTAGTATCTGCGCTTTGTGAGCTGCCGGGTCGGGTGTCTGTCGAACTCTCTGCTTGCAGAGAGGAACCCGGACGAAGCTCCGCCGAAGGGTAGGGTTTCGTTGGGGGAGTTTGACGGAACTGGCCCGCTTGGTCGGGTTTAGATGGGTTTTATTTTTGGCTGGGCCTACGGGCTCAGACATACCCACATTAAAAAGGCCTTGTGCCACATTCTGTCCCCGTGGGTGGATTGATAAATACCATCGCCTATAATCGTCAAAAATTTTAAATCGTTCAATTTTTAACGTACGACGAACTGTTCAGGACCAATGGCATTGCAAATACTTCTTTGGGTTTTTATCAAGTATCTCTCAAGATATAGCAGTCGCGATCGCCTCTATGTTCGAATCATGGATGACTGTAAGACTTATACATTTGTAAGATAGATGCTGGAGTGAAAAAAATGTTCTGCACGATGCAGTGAACCAAATTTCCTAGCAGCAGACCGAGCAATTGATAAAATATTATCTAAAAGGTTAATGAGTGAAGCAGCGAACAGCATTGTAAATCAGCAAGGAAGGATTTGCAAAGGTTAAGTGATAATGTGGACATTGCAAACAGAATCGGGTTCTTGGGTCTATAGGAAAAACATTGTAACAAATCTAAGTACTACAATTTAACTATCCACTTGTTATGGGACCTTACCCATAATAACATAATGGACTATTCCATACGTAATAAATACTGCGCCTCAAGAGGAAGCAGGGAGTTCAGTACAAAGTCGGGCGACCGGCTGATGGGATGAACTCTCTGCCTTCGGGCGGGGAGGAACCCGAACGAGGCTACGCCGAAGAGCGGAGTCTCTTTCGGGGGTGGGGGGGAGTACCCTGAACCCGTTTATACGGGTTCAAAGTGCGTATTTTTGGCCGAGCCCACGGGCTCGGAGATCCCATGTTAAACCGGCCTTGTGCCACATGATGCCCTCGTGATGGGGTGACTAAATACCGTTCAGTCCGAAGTCGGGCGACCGGCTGATCGGTTGAACTCTCTGCCTTCGGGCGGGGAGGAACCCGAACGAGGCTACGCCGAAAGGCGGAGTCTCCTTCGGGGAGGTAAACCGACCCTGAACCCGTTTATACGGGTTCAAAAGGCATATTTTTGGCCGAGCCCACGGGCTTGGAGATCGCACGTTAAACCGGCCTTGTGCCACATGATGTCCTCGTGGTGGGGTGAATAAATACTGTTCAGTCTGAATTGAGGTCCGTCAGGAGTCTATCAGTCAGTCAGAGCGAGCGAGTCAGTCAGTCGAGTCAGAGGCAGTCCGAAACAGAGTCGCGTTCAGACAATTACTACTAAAACCTGATTATTCGTATTAACACTTTCTACTTTTCTGTATATATTCCTGTTTGTAATATATCTGTGTTATACCATATCAGCCTTCGGGTTCTTCTTTATTGGTTCTACCTTGGACTATCACCGTGGTACAAGAAACCGGACCATAACACTATTTAAGCAGAGGACGGAAATTGCAAGACTCAACTCCGAAGGCGCATTGGGATCGCAAAAAGGTGCTGTTCAAAAGTTAAGCAAAGTATTAAGAGACAGAAACATTTCGTTAGAAACAAAGAAAAGAGTACCTAAATGTTATGTCATATCAATCCTCCCATTTTTCAGTGAATGCTGGACAATCTCAACATAAATAAAGAAAAAGACTTAAAAAAAAAACAACAGAAATGTGGTCTTACAGAAGGATACTGAGAATACCATGGATCGAAAAACAACATCGTTTTAGGGTAAATGGAAACAAATAGGAGGCTTACAATTAACATAAAAAAGAAACAGTTGAAAATGTATAGGAAAGAAGGAAAAAGAAGGGAGTTCCACAAGTGGGGAGTGAGAGAAACAAAAACTGTTGGTGGTTACACGTAGCTATTTCAACAGTAAAAGGGTGGGACGTCGATGCTAATCTAGTAGCACGCTTAAACTCAAGTCGCCCGGGCACCAAGGAAAAATTACGTCAGAGCAATTACCTTGAAAATATTTGTAGAAAAGACAGAGAGAAACCGCATCACGTTAGTGAGAAAGTGACTGGAGTTGAGATGCGAAGTTAGGATCGATTGCATTACAGATCCGTTGTGGGATATTGTCAAGAACCTCGACATTGAAGCGCACCAGACCAGATATTGCAACAGTATTAAATGTACGGACAAGTGATGGATTTGTAAATGTGCAAGATGAGCTCTGACGAGAAAAAACTTCTGGCACGGCACGGTGACTCAAATTTTCTTGCAGTAGATGCAGTTATTGATGCGATGTAGTCGTTTCACTTCAAGTCAGTTGAAAACGTGAAGCGAAGCAGGGGTGTTTCTCACCATGCGTCTAGCATCAGTCAGGTTGATGACAGGCAGGAAAGTTTTTCTATGTTGGTTAAAAGAGAGCAATTTCGTTTTGGAGTCATTAAGATTTACGAGTGATTTCCTGTTTTAGTTAACCACCTGGCATCTGGACTCCAGTCACTTTCTCACAGATGTGATCTGGCCTCCTTCTGTCTATTTTCTCGGAAGGCGAAATGCTTAGGCATTTATTTATTAAACAAAAAAACAGAGAATATAAATAAATATATACATACAAATATTTAATTTAAATACATATATATTTGAATTTAATACATATACCCTCGACAAAATTCGAAGAGGGATATGCAATGTGATAGGTCCTGACCTGGCATCTGGACTCCAGTCACTTTCTCACAGATGTGATCTGGCCTCCTTCTGTCTTTTCTACAAATATTTTCACGGGCATCTTTTCCGACGTGCCTTTTCCCTGGTGCTAGGACTACGTGAGTTGAAACGTGTTACTAGATTAGCATCGAGTTGCCACCATTTTACTGTTGGAATATCTAAATGTAAACGCCAACGGTTTCTTTTCTCGCATTTCTCGACTGTGGAACTCCCTCCCTTTTTCTTTTCTTCCCTGCTAACTACAAACTTTCTATATTTTCTTTCTTTCGTTTTCTTTTCTTCGTTCTTCATTTGTATATTTCTTTCTTTCCATATTTCATTCTTTCCGTATTTCTTTCCATCATTCTAAAGATTTTTCATTCCTTTGTTCATCTTTCTTTCTTTCTTTCTTCCCTTTACTTTGTTCTTTCTGTATTTTCTTTCTTACTTTCATTCTTTCTTTATTTTCTTCGTTCTTTCTTTCAATGTTATCTTCTTTTTATCTTTCTTTCTTTCTTTCTTTCTTTCTTTCTTTCTTTCTTTCTGTTGTGGTACGATACACCTAATTTACATAAGTGGAGTACCGACCATATAAATATGGGTTGGTACCGGGAAGACGAGGGGAGGAAGTAAGAAGAGATCCAATCCAGAGACTCTGCCCGACTGCGATTAAGTCAACCCATTCTACAGGAACAGTCTTCCCAAGAATATACCAAAACTAACTGTAAATATTGTGTACCTTTTCCTTGTTTCAATACATTTTGTTTACGTACATTTTGTGTTGTATTATTATTATTCCATGCTTATCCAAGTTTCAACAATGGCGACGAGGTATAAAGAACTTTACGTTACGAAAAAAAAAAGAATTTATAATTGATAGCCTTCAACAATTGGGACAAGTTGAAGAACCCAGGCTGAAGAAAAAAAAAATCATTAATTAAAAGTCGAACATCTAATGGAACGGAAAAGTATTCTGTAGTTTGGACAATTAAAACTAGTTAAAGGACGACTAAGCTTAAAGGAACGTTCACTCAGAAAAATCTGGAAGGTGGCGTAAACAAATAACGGCGAAAAAAAAAATGATGGCCGACTAAAAAAAACATGCATGGAATTAAAAGGAGCACAAATACAACGTGTCGACTTTGAAAGGTAAGCGAACTTGTAAAAAAAAAATTGTTTATTTTTTTTTGTTTGGTTGCTCAACAATATTTTATAAAGCAAGACATAAAATTAAAAAAGGCGTAAGTTGTTTCGATTTTTTTTTTGTCTGCTTATAGTATATTCGTGGATACACAATTTAAAAGTATATTCTTTTGTTTCATGAACACTATCAGCTAAAGATGGAGGAATTATCCAAAGTCATAGCTGAATTGTTTAAAGCCCAGCAGTTGAGTCAAGCTGAGTTAGTCAAATCCCAGCAGTTGAGTCTGCAACAACAAAGTGAACAGTTTGCCTTATTAAGAGAACAGCAATTAGCACAGCGGAATTATCAAGAAAGGCAAGAGGAGTTGAGTCAGCAACGTCAAAGGGAACAGGAAGAAATGTATGTCAAGGTTTTGGAAATTCAAAAGTTAACATTGGAGAAATTAAACAATAATCGGGCAAATGAAAGTAACTCTTCATATTCTAATAGCATCATATTTAATTCGTTGGAAACTTTCAACTATGTGCCAGACGAAGGAAAAACGTTTGAAGCGTACTTTAAACGATATGAAGATATTTTCCACACACTGTGAAAACTGGTCGAATTCAAGAAAAGTCAGTCTATTACTAAGAAAGCTAGGTACAGCAGAACATAGCAAATTTGTAGATTTTATTCTACCGAAAAGAACAAATGAATTGGAATTCTCGGAAACAGTGAAATTGCTAAAGGAGTTGTTTGGAGCAAATATGTCGCTTTGGCATAAGCGATGGTTATGCATGAATGTCGCTAAATCCGACGATCAGGATTACTTAACTTATGCAGCGATAGTGAATAGACATTGTGACAATTTCAGATTGGCAGAGATTACGGTTGAAGAATTCAAGTGTTTAATTTTTGCTCAAGGACTGGTATCCAGTAAGAGTGCCGAAATAAGACGTAGAGTTTTGTCTAAACTCGAATCTGAACAAAACCTTACCCTGCAAAAGTTAGCAGAGGAGTGTCAGCGGGCCGTAAGTTTAAAGAAAGAGTCTCAAAAATTGAAGAAGCTGGTATTGCTTATATTAAAAAAGTGAAGAAACAGTCAAATTACCCATCAGAAAAAATTGGATTAAAAATTCGGCGTATTTTAAAAAAGACAAGAAAAATGAAAAGAATGAGGAGAAAAAAAATGGTTCCGCCATTTAAGTGTAGACAGTGCAACGGAAGACACTGGGAGGTAAATTGCCCATATAGAAATAAAAATGTTTCGTATGCCACATGAATGGTCACAAAGGGTCGTGTTGTAAAACGAAAAAAGTCAATAGCCGAATTAGACAAACAAATTCAAATATCAAATCAGATAGAGATTTGAGGAAGTATGTGACGACTGAAATATTTAAAAAGAATATCAAATTTCAACTCGATTCGGGTTCAGATTTAACAATAATGAACTATTTGCACGGTTCGGTGTGCCAGAGTGTATTGTGAGTGACAATGGTACACAATTCACTTCTGAAGAATTTTGTGAGTTATATCAAATTAACCACATAACGACGCCTCCGTATCATCCGAGGTCTAATGGACTCGCAGAAAGATTTGTCGATACTTCAAAGCGAGCTCTGAAGAAAGCCTCAGGAGTTCCAACAGAAAAGGCGCTTCAGCAATTCTTACAAGTATACAGAATCACGCCAAACTAGAGAACACACTCAAACATGGCACCAGCTGAACTAATGTTCGCTAGGAAAGTTAAGTCAGTGTTTGACAAGCTTTTGCCAGGAAAAAATAGAGTAAAAAATACCATATATACAGCGAGAAAAAGATACACTCCCGGAGAGAAGGTGTTTTTCAAGTGCTATAAAAACAACGTTGAGTTCTGGGAACGAGGCATAGTGGACAAGAGAATCGGTGACCTGATTTACATAATTAAAGGGCCGAAGAATACTCATAAAAGGCACCAAAACCAACTTAAAAAAGATTACGGTATAGAGCAAGAAGAGTGTATACCGGATGAGGACGAAGATCCCATTGATATAATGTATGATATGTTTCAGGTAGAACCTCCACAGAATACACCTGAACCAAGAAGGTCCGGTAGGAAACGGAAGTTGACGGACCCATTGGACGTGAATCCAAAACGAAAAAAATATTAAAATTAGGCAAATGGATCTACAAAGAAATAGCCATAATCATCAACCCATATAGGAAGCCAATTTGAAATCCAAAAGGGATTCCAATGCTTGGGAGGAGGGTGTTGTGGTACGATACACCTAATTTACATAAGTGGAGTACCGACCATATAAATATGGGTTGGTACTGGGAAGACGAGGGGAGGAAGTAAGAAGAGATGCAATCCAGAGACTCTGCCCGACTGCGATTAAGTCAACCCATTCTACAGGAACAGTCTTCCCAAGAATATACCAAAACTAACTGTAAATATTGTGTACCTTTTCCTTGTTTCAATACATTTTGTTTACGTACATTTTGTGTTGTATTATTATTATTCCATGCTTATCCAAGTTTCAACACTTTCTTTCTTTCTTTCTTTCTTTCTTTCTTTCTTTCTTTCTTTCTTTCTTTCCTTTACTTTGTTCTTTCTGTATTTTCTTTCTTACTTTCATTCTTTCTTTATTTTCTTCGTTCTTTCTTTCAATGTTATCTTTCTTTTTATCTTTCTTTCTTTCTTTCTTTTCTTTCTTTTTCTCCATTATTTATTTCTATACTTCCTTTGTATTTTTCGTTTACTTTTTCTTTTCTTCGTTCCTTCGTTCCTTTTTTTCTATATTTCTTTTTATATTTTATTTCTTTCATTCTTACTTTTCCTTTACTTCTTTTTTTTTCTATATTTCTTTCTTTCTCTATTTCATTCTTTCTGTATATATTTCTTTACTTCGTTCTTTCTCTAATTTCTTTCTTTCCTTCATACTTTTCTCCCGTTCTTATTTCCATATTTCGTTTCTTTCTTTCTTTATTTGCTTCATTCTTCATTTCTATATTTTCTTTCTTTCTTTCTATATTTCAAAACGATATATTTTCTTTCAAAACAAAATTTAGGAAGTTGAATCTGAAAGAGACAATTTAAACACACATGCAGCAAGGCAAATAATTTAAAATCGTATCACCGATTGATTATTGGGGAACTAGGCGACGTCACAAAATATCCATTCTTTAAATTGTATCATCTGGGTAGATGATAAAGAATTTAAACAGACATTTGAGCCACCGAGACTAAACTACAGAATATAAATAATCCAGCATATTCAAGTAGCTTTCACCAGTAACGTTTCTTTCAATTTCATATTCCCCTTTCTCATACATTGATCGAAATATTACAAGCGAAGCTACTTGAAAATCTACCATTGCTTTTGCCCGCAACCCTTCAATACGTCTTTGCAATTTACGATATGTCCACACGAGAGCGCAGCTGTACATTACTCATACATTATCCGAGACGTTTTCGATAGAAAAATAATAAAATTGATGACCTGAAATAGTTATTTTGGCGGCAAGGTAGCTAATACCACGTTTCTCCATTTTTTAATTTTTTTGTTTTTGAGAGTGGGTATATTAACGGTTGTAGTCTCAATGAAGCTTCTTGCCTAAAACGTCTGTTGAGACTCAAGCACATTCCACAACGCAAGTGTAACACATATGCTGATGTAACAGGAAAATTGTTTGAAATGTGTAACAGCATAATTGTCCATCCTACAAAATGTTTAATATCTAAAAAAAAAACTAATTGATTTTTTTCCAGGTGTTCCGATAAGAGGTTTAGCCATCATGCCATCAGTTATCGTAAGAATCACTGAAAAACCAAATGAGTTATTTGGCTCGTAAGAGAACAGGTTAAAATCGGTTTTGTGTCAACCCCACCGAGCTCTTGATAAATTTTGTCTTTTTGTTATCATCCGCCATCAATTTCTGTTGTTTCAATTTTCCACTTAATATGTGACGATAAGGTCCACCATTCTCTGCCCCATAGGAAGATTGGCACTCTTGCTTACGAAATCTAATTTATATTAGTCACATTTACAATAACTTATCTGGTCGTGTGATGATGTAGTATTCAGTGCGGTTGTTCTTATATTTAAAACAAATATATACATTGACTCAATCTTTCTATATCTGAAATATATATATATATATATATATATATATATATATATATATATATATATATATATTTCAGATATAGAAAGATTGAGCCAATGTATTACGAACCTCGCAGTAAAATGAATATTAACAAAGCGATGTGATAAAATGTGACTTTTATTTATATTTATATGATAAATATTCCATGAGTATTTCAGCTTCTAATATTGGTATTTTAGAAAGATTTACAATAACGTATTTAACAGTGTCTTCTTCTTCTTCTGGCTTACATTGGTTTCCGTATGATTACCGAAATTAAGCAACGTTGAGTTAGGTTACTACCCGGATGGGGGACCGTTTGGGAATACCATGTGCTGTAAGCATGGATGAGCGGGTGGTGTAATGGTTAATGGCCCGGAATTGTTAATCGGAGAGTCGAGTTCTAATTCCCTTTATATTGACTTACGCGAAAATATCCTTGAGAAAAGTATGAATCCACACCATTTCCAACACCCCTCCAACACACACTATGGATGATTTAGTAAGGACACTATCACTAAATAATTATTATCTAAAAAATACTAAAAAAAGAAAAAAATCTGGCTTTAAATAACCTGCAAAGTGTTTATAAACAGTGGAAATCTATTAATCTTCTTTTATGTGTCGGGTCCCTTCAGGACGTTGGCGATCATGGCTTTCCACAATTTCCTTCTCTTTGTAGCTCTTATTTAATTTTGACTTCATCTGTCCTAAAACCTGTTCCACCATCTATTTTGCACAAGGTAAGCTATGCGTGCTTTTCCTCTGTCCCTTCAGTTTATCCTGTGAGTAACAAATTTTCCAAGTCGTCTTTCTTCATTATGCCCCACAGAAATTTAAACTGTCTCTTCCAGATGCTAAATATAAGTGTCATTTTTGTAGCCACTGTCTCTAAGACCACGTCATCCATTTACACCAGTTCCATAGCTATGTGCATTTTTCATCTGTCCTTCTTGCCGTCACTGTCCCATGTGTATCAAATTTTCCAAGCCCTGTATTCTCATCATTTGCCCGGAAATTTTCAATTGACTCTTTATTATGTAGCTTATAATTGTCGTTTTTGTTTCCATTTTCTCTAAAACTTCGCCGATGTTGACACGAGAACTGAACGCTAAAAACAGGAGTAGATCGAGAGCTGTAACGATTTAAAGAATTCAATTCTGAAAGTTTAAGGAGGACGACCCACAAAGAAAAACATTACGATGCAGGTGATCAATGGAGCACTGGGGTGTTTGACAAAAAATGAAAAAAATAAAAAGAAAGAAAGAAAGAAATAAAAATAAACGAGACAAAATCTTGCAGATATTCTGGCTTGTGATTTGGAAATGAAGTTATTGCCGAAAGTATACCTTCTCCAAACAGAAAGGATTTCTTCGAAAATTGTTAGATACAGATTGGTCCTTTCGGTCTTTCTTATATATCTACAAATCAACCATTCGTCTGTGCAGTGAATACTGCTGTTTGGTGCCGCTGCTGTTTATCTTGAGGTTCTTGACAAAATCCAAAGAAGGATCTGCAATGGAATCAAGCCTGACTTGGCATCTCGACTTCAGTCACTTTCTCACAGACCTGACTTGTCGCTGTCTTTTCTGTAAATATTTCCATGGCAACTACCCTGAAGAGGTTTTTACCATGGTGCTCCGATTGCATGGTTTTAAGCGTGTTAAAGGCAGCGATAAGGTGATTGTTATAGAAATTCATTGCAAAGAATTTTAATGAAGAATTGCATTGCAAAACAGGCATAATAAAGAATTAAAGCACGGACATTTAGACGCGCAATATTAACAAACTGGGGATGGTCTATGCATAATGTAAATGCATTGTTAATGATTTTAGATAAAACTGCATAAAAATCATTTTCGATGGCATTACTAACGCTCAGGAATTAAAAACAAAGCATTACTAAGAGAAAGACATTGTTATATGTATAATGCATATTTTTTAATTCATTTCACACCAAGCAAGGCGATAATGCCACTAAGACGCAGAGTTGGGTACAGGGAGTGAAAGAGAGTTAAAGGGAGAGTGACAAGGAGTGAGGAAATAACAATAAAGGAACCGGATGTAAAAGACAGAAATAGCGATTGAGGTTTCCTTGAAGTTTTTGACGATTATAGCCCTCAGGGAAGAAAGGAAGTAAAGACACTGAGATAAAAAGGATTTACAGTATATGGAAGATTAAGAAAATAGAAATAAAAACATTATTTTAACAGAGTGAGGTATACACAGACACACCCACATGAACGCACACACGCGAATATAACTTTTATTGATTGGAAGTGGAAATGGTGTTTATATATCAAAGTACAATTTGGGTTTACCGATGAGAAATACGATCTCAGGACAGGAGGCGATGTTTTAAATCTGGGTCACTAGTAAACAATGGGGATGGGCGAGATACTTGGTCTTGTTTAACAGTATTTGTTTTGATTAAAAGGTTGAATCAATGTTTAGATATCCCAAAGTATAATTTTGGTGAAGCGAGAAGAACTCGTGATTGAGATAAGGTAAATAATTGGAGAATCGGTTTACATGTCAAGGGATAGTTTTTGGCACTCGTGGTAGCTGCGTGCCGGGCGAAGGGTCAATTGTGATCAGCTGATCCTTTTTCTATATTAACTTGATATTTTTCTAATAAAGTCGGGGAAAGAGACTGTAGTCGAGAGAGTCACGAGACTATCGTCGCAGTGAGTTGAGAGATTTGCTGGAGAATTTTGGAGGAGAGAGAGAGAAGACTGCCCCCTGTTCTGAGAAGTCTGTATGAGACGGGTCTATTTGTCATAAACCTACTCCAGGCGATTCAATACGCGTTTATCACACACAAACCCTCTCTTTGTTGGGAATTCGCTGGATGCATTTTGCCTTTTTCTTTTTCTTTTCTCATTTAGGTTAAATGTTTTATTCTCCCTGTAACCTCTGTTCTGAGGTTATCTTCTTATATAAAAGACTTCAATATTCCCCCATCCATTGTTGTCTGGCTTCTGCAGATATTATTTCTTGTTTTATTTTGCTACATTCTAAACTTTCTATCACCAACTCTCACAGCTGTGTCCACATCCCCAGTCGACCGTGAACGTATGAACAACATCTCGCTTACTGGATCTAAAAACTAACACAGCGTGGGTAGCAAGCAGGACTTGACCAGTTGACCGGTCAAAATAATCCACGGGTACTCAGGGAGCGTACGGCCAGTTACCCCTAAGTTCAGTTCGGACCGAGTGGACACCTCAACCCAAAGAGGAAGACGCCGGAGGTTGTGGGGCTGGGGACGAAGTGGTAGATTATTAAATAGCGAGAACTATAAAAGAAGAGGAATTAAGGAAACAGTAGATAGCGATCGATATTGCATTTAAAATTTGAAGATCGAAGTTGACTAGAGAGCAAGATGCCGGAAGAGAGTTCCACAGGCGTGAAGTGCGAGCAAAGAAACTGTTAGCCATGATCGTACATCTAACCAATCTAATTGTAATACGATGATACCTTGTGGCCGAATGTAGCGCTAAACTTAAATTAATAAAGTCTAGATACGATAGAGTACCTTTCATCAGAACAATTACTATGAAAGTAATTCTAGAAAAACAAAAAAACAACAAAAAAAAACAGTGAGGAAATGACTGAAGCTTGACATCTAAGTTTCCCCCTTTTATTGTTGAAATAGTTAACTGTAACCGCCACATCTATTCTAATAGTTTCCTTTCTCGCACCTCCCGACAGTGGAAATCCTTTCCTCTTACTTGCTTCCTTGATAACTGCAATCTTCAAAAATTAAAATGCAGCATCAATCGCCAACTTCTGTTGTCTTGGATCCCGTTCATATTTTATCCGTTCCTCATTCCCCACCCTATGCATAGTCTTTTTAATCAGTTTCTGTTTATGTAACCCTGTAGTACGAGTGGCTCTCCTGCCTTGCTTCTGGTGCATTGTTTAAAAAAAAATTTGGTTCCAGAGAAATGGCCTGAAAATAAAATTCTTGCCAGTAACCAACATCTATGCACCAAACCATTAAAAATACGACTATTAATAATAAATAACTAACTACTATTGGAAGTCAAAATGACTAACAAAAAAATTACTTCATTTTTTCATAAACTATTTAATTAAATTAAGTATTTAAGTAACTAATTTAATTAACGTTTATTAATTAATTAAAGCAGATCGTGTCGTTATTGGACAAAAAAAAAATCCGCCAGCCTAGCTCATTTCAATTTCAACGGAGACTATCTTTTAAAACTTTTTGTTTTAATTTCTTTATTTCGAAAATACAATTATCCAACGCAATACGGTTTCGTTAGTGATATCTTACGAGGCTTCACAGAAAAGAAAGCACTCAGGACTGTTATGGCTATTGATGTCATTTTCACTAGCTAAAAAAAAAAAGAGGAGAGAAAAGTGGTCAAAATAAAAAAAAAAGCCAAAAAGAAGAGAAAAAAGATAGAAAAAGGCGGCAAGGAAACAGAAAAAATAGAAGCTTTTCTTAATTTAAAACAAGAATTCCTAAAAAAAATAAAATAAAATAAAATAAAATAAACCAATGAAAAAGGAGATTATGGTTATAAAGTTGGCCAAGATAATGAAATAAACTCTTCTCGTCACGTGCAATGAGATTCTCGTGTTATTGTACGGAGACAAAATATGGAAAAAGCAAATTGTGATGCATTTTATGTGGAGGCATGTTCGGAATAAACTTTTTAGTTCAGAAAATTCTAATTCATTTCTTTCTCTCGAGACCCGAGAGATGGATTGATATTTTTTCCCACGAAGACATTTACTCGAAAGTGAATGCCGACGAAATTCGAACACTGATAACCGATTTCAGTTTACAAGCTTCTCACCGTTATACTATCTACATACTCATCATATACACTATCATATATACTATCATTATATTACATCGTATATACTATCTACATAATCATCATATATACTATCTACATCATATACACTATCATATATACTATCATTATATTACATCATATATACTATCTACATAATCATCAGATATTCTATCATATATACTATCATATATTACATCGTATATATTATCTTCATAATCATCATATATCCTATCTATGTATATACTGTCATATATATTATCATTATATTACATCATATATCTACATAATGATCAATCCCTTTATATAATCACGCCCCCTATCACTGTTCGTCATCAGTCATATATTACCATTTAAAACTGAGACAAATTTTCATTTGCCTTTGCCTAAATGTTTGCTACTTTTTTAGGCTAAATGTCAACCCTTATTGGCTTATCTAATGTCGAATCTTGTATGGGGCACCTAGTGAGTATCACACTTAAGTGGTAACAACAAACCAGGATGACCTCGACAACGACTAGCCTTTTTAGTTTGATTAGTCGATTCATTTGTTTACAGTTAACCAACACTTTGCAAGCTATTTAAAGCACCCCAAATATTTTTAGTTTGTAAGGATATTTTTTGAAGATAATAATCATTTAAAGATACAAAACTTAATAAATATCCCATACATTATGTTGTGGTACGATCCACCTAATTTACATAGTGGAGTACCGACCATATAAATATGGGTTGGTACCGTGAAGACGAGGGGAGGAAGAAGAGATCCAATCCAGAGACTCTGCCCGACTGCGACTAAGTCAACCCATTCCACAGGAACGGTCTTCCCAAGAAATATACAGAAGGCTATATGTAAATATTTTGTACACTTTCTTGTTTCCATACATTTTGTTCTAAGTACATTTTGTGTTGCATTATTATTCCATGCATTAGTCAAGTTTCAACACATTACAGAAAGCGAAGGCCAAGGCCAGAATGGTCAGCGATTGGCCGGAGTGTCTCGTGGTCGTGGTATTCTGAGAGTTATGGAGTGAATTTGCCTGCGTTTGGGATATAAATCGAAAACGGTGCGAATTCAACAGAGGGTCGCAAGAATTCTGAAGCGGCGATACGCCTTCCACAACCATGATGAAAGACAGACTAAGACCCACCCGTCGATGGACGCTGAGCCAACGTGCGACATGCGTTCCTGTGAATTAATTCCTCGCGCTGCCTCTTAAAATCCAAGCTGTAACCAATTTTATCTTAATAAAACAAATAATAAAACGAAATGGTTCTTTTCGTTTGAACGTTTTATGTAGTAGCATGGAGACCCAGAGACGACACAGAACGCAACACATAGCTGGGGTGAGAGGAATAACTGAAACTTGAACTCGGCTCTCCGATTAACAATTCCGAACCATTATCCATTATACCATCCGGACCTCCAACCTTACAGCATCTGGTATTCCTATGCAGTCACCCATCGGTGTTTGTACGGGAACCAGTGTTTAAATGGGATTTAGCCGTAAGCGTTCCGAGCCTCGACTCATTACATCCCCTGCATATTCACGGGTAGCAGCACACAGATGGTATTTATCAATCGGGCCAGTTCCGTCAACCTCCCCCAACGAAACCCCACCCTTCGGCGGAGCTTCGTCCGGGTTCCTCTCTGCAAGCAGAGAGTTCGACAGACACCCGACCCGGCAGCTCACAAAGCGCAGATACTACACTTTGATCCTAGCCACCGGGCTGAGCGGGTAGCAGCACACAGATAGATGTAAACAAACTGAAATAGACATAGGGAGATTGAAAAAGATAGATAGATAGATAGATAGATAGATAGATAGATAGGTTGAAATTGATACAAACAATATACAAAAAATAAATAGGAAATTACTACAAATATAATATAAAACTTTTTCTTGCACTACAAAAAGGATTACTCCGAACACTAAACAAATTTTATGCTGGAAATGAAAGCCAAATATCTTAAACTACAAAAAGGTAACGTCAGGGGAATCAATGTTTTAATGGTATATAGTTGTAAGACCCTGATTATTGATTTTATAATCTGCACACCTTTGTTGCGTTAGTCAAGTCGACATGTGATGATGGAACGCAGTGCAGATCGAATTCTCTACTTAGTTGTAATAGTCAAACGGAACCGACACCCCTAACCGTTTTGTTAGGTTGACGAATTTTATTATGAGTCATCCCTTGTTTGGGGCTCCCAGTGAGGACGAAATCCCGACCGTAGACAATCTTTAGTAGACTTGATCGCAACTCTAAGGTGCATCGTCCCTTTTTAGAAAGATACACAAAACACATGAATATAGCGTACAAGTGAATTTATACTTTAATTCAGAGATAATTTAAGATGAACTAGAAGGAAAAAAATTCGCTGAAAAAGCACGATATCGAGTTGTGTAACACGCTAACATCGTAGAGGCACCACATTTGCTACAGTAGCAGTTGTGTGTCTTGGGCAAGACAGCCTGACGAAGCCCACTCCAGGTTAGGTTTGAATTCTCCAAGACCGGTTTCCAGCCAAAGCTATAGAACACTGTCTGTCCTGCTATTTACAGATAGCCGGGTAGAAGAAGAGATGGATTCATACATTTCCCCCAAAATGTAATGAACTCAACTGGAATTCGAACTCCGCGCTTCGGTTCTTCAATCCGAGCCGCTACCCTTTATGCCACCAACAATTGACACGTATTTTATTTAAATACTGAAAGACTTGGTAAAAACAGTACCCATCCGCCATCCCCATGTATTGCTGCATTATGTTTTAGAATGGAATTTTCCATTGAGGTGTCTTGAAAAAGTTTCAACTTGCAACTCAAGACCGACTTCCTGTGCTCTCTCAAGCAAGCAATTCTTTTGGGATTTTCAGAAACGATTGAAGTTTAAGAATAACCTGACTCCATTGTCTATTGATCAAAGAATTATCCTCATATCTCAGATGACAGGTTACCTGGCACAGGAAGCAGGTTTTGGAAATTTAAGAGTGGCAACAAGCCGAGTTGAGATGAGGGTTAAGAATGACTCTTCCGAAGCAGCGGGAAAACAAATGACGTCATTGTCACGTGAGAGCAGAAATGCAAAAATAATCTCGTTTCAAGACTAATTAGTGGCGCCAGTCTCTCAAGAAAGCGTCGTGCGAAGAAACTGCTGTTACCCAGAAAGAATGCAACAGACCAATTGAAATCTCTGTCAGTTTATGTTTGGCATCAATCCCAGAATGTTGGACATCTTCTCAGGACTGATGTCCTATTTTGATTGTCTCCTTGAAATGCTGAATCCAAAGACTCCGGAGATTCAATCGATAATTTGTATCTACCAGAGAATCTATGAGGGAATGGTAATAGTGATATAAGGCATTTCCTTATAAGGAAATAAACGGCTTTCATATGCCGAGCGGCTATTGTTACTGTCGGTTGAAATTTATAAAATCTTTCTTTTTTTTCAGGAAAATAGGTTTTCCAAGCCCAGTAGCTGTTATCGCTCTTTCCGTTACTGAAGGGGGTTTCCACCCTAACCTTTTATTTGAAGCAATATGGAATTACAATATTTGATTATGTCATTATTTTCTCTTTGGGTTACATGTGGTGTGCACTTTAGTGGTTGGAAGTTATCTCATTTCTGTTATTTGGTATTGTACTTTGGGACTCTGTTGGTTCGAAGCATGATTGGCCCCACTAAGATCTACAGGCGTCAATCGTTCAAGGCCATTTTTAACCATTGCTCTAAGAAAAGCTACTGTATGAAGTTCACAGTTTAGATATTTCTGAACGGATTTGGCATCGTGCATGACATTCATGTGAGGCTAATTAGGAACATCAGATGGAGTTATTGTTATGGGACCTTACCCATAATAACATAATGGACTATTCCATATGTAATAAATACTGCGCCCCAAGAGGAAGCAGAGAGTTCAGTCTTAAATCTGGCGACCGGCAGATCGGTTGAACTCTCTGCCTTCGGGCGGGGAGGAACCCAAACGAGGCTACGCCGAAGGGCGGAGTCTCTTTCGGGGAGGTAAACCGACCCTGAACCCGTTTATACGGGTTCAAAGGGCATATTTTTTTGGCCGAAGCCCACGGGCTCGGAGATCCCACGTTAAACAGGCCTTGTGCCACATGATGCCTTCGTGTGTCGGAGGGTGACTAAATACTGTTCAGTCTGAGGTCTGGAGTGAGGTGCGTCAGAAGTCCGTCAGGAGTCTGTCAGTCAGTCAGAACGAGCGAGTCAGTCAGTCGAGTCAGAGGCAGTCCGAAACAGAGTCGCGTTCAGACAATTAATGCTAAACCTGATTGTTCGTACTAACACCTTCTAATTCTCTGTATATATTCCTGTTTGTAATATATCTGTGATGTTCCATATACGTGTTCGAGTTCTTCTTTAATGGTTCTACCTTGAACTATCACCGTGGTACAAGGAACCGGACCATGACAGTTATCTGGTTCTTTCTTCATTTTGGTTAAGTATTTTGGTAAACTGGCATACATTGATGGAACCAGAATAGACGTAGATTCATAGATATGCACAATAGACAGAGAGGAAGAATTTGTTGGTTGATTTTTTCCGGTTTATCAACACTTCGTGAGTTTTTTTTTTTTAAACCGACGTACGCAAAAACATATTTTGATTTAAAACGTATTTTGATTTTCCAGATACACACCTTACTATTTAACCCATATATGGGGGGAATGGATGTATACATTTCTCAACATTATTTTTAGTAAATGAATGTGAGGATCTTGTATGGAATTCGAACTCGCTTCGCCGACTTCTAATTCAATTCTAATTTCTATTGATTTATTGATTCATTCATTCGTTTATTACGGCTTATCAACCCTTTGCAGGTTATTTAAAGCCAGAAGATATTTTCAGATTGTAATTTTTTTTTGAGATAATAATAGTTTAGAGATAGATGTCTTACTAATTAACCCTTAATTGGGGGGGATTCATACCTTTCCCAGTGGTATTTGAGCGTAAGTGAATATAAGGAACCCAAAAGGAATTAGAATTTTGCTCTCCGATTAAAAATTTCAAGTCATTATCGCTTACACCACCCGCACATCCAAGCTTACAGCACCGGGTAAACCCGAAGCAGTCACATCTCGAGGTACTAACTAGGCCCGGCGTTGCTTCATTTCTATGATCGTACAGGAACCGATGATTCAACGTGATGTGACTCTAAGCTTTCCGAGCAGGTATCCATTACACCAACTGTACACTCATCGGTAGAAAGACACAGATAGATGTGAGCAAATTGAAATAGACATGAACAGACTGAAATATATAGATAGATAGGAACAGAATTAGATAGAAAGATAGATAGATAGATAGATACGAACAGACAAGAATAGATAGATAGATATTTATGAACAGACAAGGGCAGATAGATAGATAGATAGATAGATAGATAGATAGATAGATAGATAAAAATGTGTGAAAATAGATAGATATTTATGAAGAGACAAGGATAGATAGATAGAGAACGAGATAGATAGATAGATAGATAGATAGATAGAAAAATGTATGAAAACAGATAGATATATAAATACATATAAAGATTCATATAAAGAGAATGAGATAGATAGATAGATAGATAGACACAAACAGACAAGAATAGATAGATATTTATGAACAGACAAGGATAGATAGATAGATAGATAGATAGAAAATGAGATAGATAGATAGATAGAAAGAAAGAAAGAGAGAAAGAAAGAAAGAAAAATGTATGAAAACAGAACGATAGATAGACAGAGAGATAGATAGATAGATAGATAGATAGATAGATACAGACATACATATAAGGAGAATGAGATAGATAGATAGATAGATAGATAGATAGATAGATAGATATAAAAATTGAATGAAAACAGATAGATAGATAGATTGAAAGGGAATTAGATAGATATAAAGAGAATGAGATAGATAGATAAATAGATAGATAGATAGATAGATAGGAACAAGAAACTAAAATAGAAAACTAAATATGAAAATGTATTGCAAAAAGTTTGCTTGCGCTCATTGAATACAAAAAGGGTCACTCCCAATCCTGAACAAATTTTATGATGGAAATAAAAACCAAGTAACTATCTTACACTACGATATGGCCTCGTCACGCATGGCAAAAACAATAAAATTATGGTTTTAATGACAGCCTTTGTCCGTGATGTTTGTATTAGATCAGTCGCCAGCTTTTTACCTCATAGAAAATCATATGGGCGCATATTTCAAACAAACTGGTTGAATGAAAATTTGAAAGTACTGAACAAACTTCGGAATCGGTCAGTGACAAATGGATCAGAACTGTTGCCGCTTCTTCCCAACAGCTGCTGCTTTTTGGAATATAAACCAGGCAGGATGTTTTCTCAATCACTATAAATCTTGACCTCTTCATTTCTAGGGGTGACATTTATATTTCCAGCAGAATCCTATGAATTTCACTTCTTGCCTCGTCTTGCGCTGATACAATACTACACAGTAATCCTCTACTCTTAAAAATTCATATGAAAAAAAAAACACATGGTAAATAGATTTCAGGCAGCTTTTGCAAACGACTTTCTTGTGATAAAAAGGTGAGTAATACGCAACCTCGTCATTTAAGCAATCCTGCTTTAGGAAGATGAGTAGATATTTTATGAAGAACATATTGTCTCGAATCCCTGTTCTTCCAATTATTTACACAAACACCTTCTTCTTCTTCTTCTTCTTCTTCTTCTTCTTCTTCTTCTCCTCCTCCTTCTTCTTCTTCTTCTTCTTCTCCTTCTTCTCCTCCTCCTCCTTCTTCTTCTTCTTCTTCTTCCTCCTCCTCCTCCTCCTTCTTCTTCTTCTTCTTCTTCTCCTCCTCCTCCTCCTTCTTCTTCTTCACCTCCTCCTTCTTCTTCTTCTTCTTCTTCTTCTTCTTATCCTTCTCCTCCTTCTTCTTCTTCTTCTTCTTCTTCTTCTTCTCCTCCTCCTCCTTCTTCTTCTTCTTCTTCTTCTTCTTCTCCTCCTCCTCCTCCTCCTTCTTCTTCTTCTTCTTGTTGTTCTTCTTCTCTATCTTCTTGTTCTTGTTCTTGTTCTTCTTCTTCTCCTCCTCCTCCTCCTCCTTCTTCTTCTTCTTCTTCTTATCCTCCTCCTCCTCTTTCTTCTTCTTTTTCTTGTCAGACTGCGAAGGTCCTTTTGTTGAACATAGGCCTTCCTTAGTTTTATGGGGGGAAAGAAAGGGCCATTACTCTAACATGTTGGTCCAATGCGTGTTGGCAGGGTAGGATGTGACACGCTTGAACGATGCAAAAAACATGAAGAGAGTTCCACAGTTGAGAAGTGCAAGAGAGTAAACTATTAGAATAGAAGTTACGGTGACATTTAGCTAATTCAAAATTAAAAAGAGGAGACTCAGTTACTGTTTTGACCCAAGTAAATGGTTAAAGATATAACAAAACAAGTGTTACAGATATATGATATATTAAAATGTAAGTACAACAGGAGATTAGTGAGTGTGTGTCGGATGACCAGCGTTCAATCTATTCGAGTGTTAATATTTAACAGCACTCCCACTAGGGTATATGTGGCACAAGGTCGGTTTATTAAGGGTACTCTAAGCCCGTAGGCTCGGCCCAAAATATTCTCTTTGAAACCACCTAAACGGGTTCAGGGACAGTCTACCTCCCCGGACGAAACTTTGCTCTGCGGCAAAGCCTCGGCAGGCAGGAACTCGGACGAGGCAGAGAGTTCGGCAACTGAACAATCTGTGCGTCTGTTAATATTTAACAGCCCCACCTCAACGAGGGTGTATGCAGCACAAGGCCGGTTTATTGCGGGTACACCGAGCCCGTAGGCTCGGCCAAAAATATTCTCTTTGAACCCGCTTAAACGGGTTCAGGGACAGCCTACTTCCCCGGACGAAACTTTGCCCTGCGGCAAAGCCTCGTCCGGGCTCCTCTCTGCTCGAAGCAGAGAGTTCGACAGTTACGGACAATCTATGCGACTGTTCCCCGGCGGAAGAGTCCAACATATACTCTTTAGAGGGAGGACACCATAACAGTTACCAATCCAGTAGTACGCTTAAATCCATGCGATCGAGGTACCACAGAGGAGATCACGTTCGAACAATTACTACGAAATTTATTATAGAAAAACAGTGGGAAGCCACATCGCGTCGGTGGGAAAGTGACTGAAGTCGATGTCACGACCATTAACATTATAGATCCTTCCTTGGATTTTACTGAAAATCACGAGATATAGAGCAGGAACACCAACACAGATATGGCAGCAATATTCAATGAAATGGATGAATAGCAGTTTCACGAGGTCTGTCTGAAAAGTTATTTCAATTCCAAACACCAAACTACATGGTTTTCGCCTTCAAAATACTCCGCTAATACACTTGTTCATCCTTCTCTGGCACACTTCTATCTGTTACTAGAAAGATTCTTCTTGGATGCCCCTCAGCTTTACCGTTACGGTCGTCTTGATGGCATCCATGCCGTCAAAACGAATCTCCTTGACGGGAAATAGGGTGGTTGTTCCAGTACGTTGATGTTCTTTTCGGCCAGGAACTGCCGGGTACTAAGAGCGTTGTGAGCAAGTGCAGTGTCGTGGTGAAGTAACAACGATTTGTCCTCTCATGACTCTCGAATGTGAAAAAAAAATGTAATGGTTACAGAAATCTAAGATTACAGTTATATACTCCAGGGATATCATGTTAGATGATAACACAATCCGTTATTCAATCTTTCCCCGAGAGCTCACACAGCACACCCAGTTCCTTTACTTTTCAGACAGACCTCATTGCATAAAGGCACACAATGGATTCTGTCGAAATGAATTTGCCTGGAACGACACTGTGAATCAACTTTCCTTGGAAGTCATAAAAAATTGAAATTGAGTAAACACCATCGTTTAGACCAGGTGTTCCTAACGTGTTGGGTACTACTTCTCTTGGGCTTGGTGAAAAAATCCAGGGTATTTTCAGGTTGTAGGAGATAATTTCTCGTCTATTTTACAGAATCTACAGGAAAAAAAAACAAAAGATTTTACACTTCTAGAACATGTATGATTTATTTATATTTCGGTCGAGCTAGCTCGAACATTCGGGAGTCTACCAGGACGAATATCACGGTCCTGCGTCAAGGTTCGAAGATCATTAGGGTGGCATTCTGTGTCAATGCAGGTGGTTGTTGGGCGACCATTCCGTCTTGCTCTATGCCTAGGAGTCCAGAGCAGTAGATCACTGGCATGTTCTAGTTATACTCACCAGCAGTGCCACGTTAAGCGCATTTTCGTTCTTGTAAGAATATCATGGCTGGGTCCATACAGATGTGATTTAGTTGGATGCTGTCTCCAGGAGATGTTAAGTGCAGCTTCCATCATGCTTGACTCTTGGATTTTATGCAATGTCCAAACAGGGGTACCATACTCTACAACCGCCTCTGGAGGGGATCGATAAAAATTTCAGATAGATCGGATTTCCAGATTATATCCATTAATTGCAGACAACCTCAAACGGAGATATATGCTTTACAACTAATTAAATTAATGTAAAATTTATACCCAAATGCATAATTTTATCTTTAATCTGCTGGTTGAAGTTAAAAGCCGAAACATCTGTTCGTATCTTGCTGTCGTCGTCACTACAAGATATACACGCCATATCAAGCAGCCGACATCTGTAGGGGACAATGCTGGTGGTTGATAGGTTTTCCGATAACATATCGCCATGTTTTTAGTCTAGTGTTTTAGTCATTTTTGAATTTGTAATATGCCTAGTGTGGAAAGAAGGGGTTCGGGATAGGACCTAGTTGGCCGCAGCTAGAACAATCTGGGAACCACTTTTGCCTCTTACATATAGACGGATACGTAACTTTGTAGAGAAAGGGGTAGCTTAGCTGTGATAGTTTTTCTCTATTATCGACTGGGTGCGGAATGATACCCGTAATTAAATAAATGGGACGCTATCTTCGTGGAAGTAATTTCACTGGATTTATTTTAATCATTTCCCCCCAAAATAAGCCGCTAAAACGCTAGTTATGAAACCCAAACCTTTGTTTCTATCTTGCTGAAGGATAAAGAGGGATTACATGTCAGGGGTCAATTCTCGAGGGTACAGAAACTGAGAAAACGTTTCTGGGTAGAAGCGACAATGAAAACAGAGCAGAATTAGCAAAGACAGACGACGACGACGACTGGCGTTGTATTTACATTTTTCAAGATCAAGTTTAACCGGAAAGCAAAAAAAAAAATTGGAAGAACGTCCCGCATTTTACTCGGGAAAATATAAATCTTATCCTGAAAAAGGGAATTCCAGACAGATATCAGCGAAAAAACTCCGGACTACAGCAGATTTTAGAAGAACAGTACTCCCGACGACAGTACCGTGCGCGTTTCTATGGTAACGAGTTTAGATAGAATCGGAGGATCAATAAGTTCATTCTGATCTTTAATCTCTATATGCGGTTACGGGCTTACCGCCATATCATATTCAAACACCGGTTAAGCAACGTCGAGCCTGATAAGGAAATACCAGGTACTGTAAATTTGGATGTGCGGGGTGGTTTTAAATGGGCAATTGCTCAGGATTGTTAATCGAAAGAGCTGAGTTTTAATTTCAATTGGATCCGTTATATTCACTTGCGCGCAAATAGCTGTGGGAAAGGTATGGATGCACCACTCCCCCACCTCACAGCTATAGATTAATTAGTAAGACTTCTATCACTAAATCGATATTATTTTAAAATAAGAACTCTTATAATATACATTTTTTTCGGGCTGAAAATATTCTGTAATGGGTTGATAAGCCGTAAAAAAACGAATCAATGAATAAATGTATCCTGTTGCCTGGCTTCTTTCTTTCATTTCCTTTCACGGCCATTAGGAAGATTAGCATTGCGTACTATTTCAGCACGTTTTTCTTTTAATGACGTAACAGCGTTGGGCAAAAATTCTCTGGAAAAAACGCAAGTATTGTAAAAAAAAAAAATGAATCGTGGAAACAGAAAGTACTGTATTGCTGAAAATGGATGCAATTATCATAAAGGTTACCATTGTTCTTCGGAATTTCTTTTTCTTTTTCGTGTTGTTAATTCCAGAACCTTCTTGGAAAAAATACTGGATTCTTCACAGATGTGAAGAGATGGCAAATGATAATAACAGAATTCCACCCCCCCACCGCCAAAAAAAAAAAACAACAACAAAAAAATCTAATAATAATACAAAAACAAAGAAACAGCGTCCTTG